AGCATAAAAGTTAAGAGCTTTGGATTTTTTTTCTACCTGTCATATTGGTGGTGGTAAGAGATAGAAATGGTTGTGATGAGCAATGGTGGTGGCTATGAATTGCAATGGGAGAATCACTGAGGCAGTGGGAAATGTAGTAGGAATTGGTGGTAGACTTTTAATCGTGACAGTTGGGGGGTGGCGGTAGTAGATTACGCAGTAGAAGCTAGCCTTGGCTGCCTTGCTCAGAAGGGCTGTGGATAAGAAAGACGCTCCAAGCTTCAAGGACTGTCTAGTACAAAGGAGTTTTTAAATTTAGTTGGGCTCTATTGTTAGGAAACAAATCACTATCCTCACTTAAACTTGGACCTTGGAGAATATATTTTATGAGTTCAACACTGAATTACTTTCACAGTTCAAGAACACTGACAAAGTGACTTGAAAGTGTACAACAATTATCTATTTCAGAAAGTCAATTTAGGGGTACAAAGTCTATATTAAAATGGAAAGAACAATGCGGACTTGCATGTACTTTAAAGAGCAAGCTAAACCCTTGTTTCTTGGACAGAGTGCACTATAGTCATTCAATTACATACTCTGGGCTATTTTTGTCATTTTAACAGAACAAACTGATTTCAAAGTATAGCTTTGTTCCCTGTAATAAACTGTGTTGTTTAAAAACTTTCAGGCAGAATTCAGAGTTCTGTGTGAATATTCTCTTTGTTTTCATTTTGTTGTCACTTGGTCAGTTGCATCAATTTCATAAAAAATTACTTAGGAGGAAAGTATAGTAAGCAAGTTTAGAAATTAAATACAGTGGTGATACTACTTCATGCTTGTTAAGCCCCTAACTTATAGATCAGGCACTATGTTCACATATTTACACAGTATGTCACTTTGTAATCACAATAAATAGATGGGAAACAATTTTTTTTTGCATTTTACAGATAAAGTAAAACTTAGACTTCCCTGTAGCAGCATTCACGACCCTTTTTTTAAACACATTATGAATTGGTCATGCTCGCTGTCATTCCTTTCTTGATAATATAGCCATAATTTAGTAAGGATTGAGTTTTCAAGTTCATTCAAATTCTATTTTTAGATACCTGAATCACCAATTTGTCAATTATATCCCTTTTCTACCCTCGTATTTTTAATTTCCTGCCACTTTTAGCATTGTAGTTTTAAATACCATTTGTTTTGCCTTTTAACTACCCTTTAAATGTATTGAGAATGTTGGAAATAACAGTAATGACCATTTTTTTCACTTAAGTCTAAAATAAGTTTTTAGATACTTGAAGTCTAAAATAAGTTGTTTTCAGACTGTGCAGTGAGACAGGTAGCTCAAAGGACGGGAGTGCATGATTTGCACATAGGCTCCTGAGTTCGATGCCCTGCACCTCATGTTTCAAGCAACTACAGAAGTAACCCCTGAGCATCTCTGGGTGAAACCAACAAAGAAAGACAAAAAGATGTTTTCAGAGACGGTCTTTTTTTTTTTTTTTTTTTAATTAGGTTATGAAACTTTTTTTTTTCCCCTTTATTTTATTTTATTTTTTTTAAAGTTGTAGATTTACAATTTTTTGTGCTTTGGTTTCAATTATACAATGATCAGATACCCATCCCTCCACCAGTGCCCATTTTCCACCACCATGGGTAATATCCCTCCCACCCCCATCCCCCCATCCCCCCGTCTCTGTGGCAGGGCAATCCCCTGTGTTCTCTCTCTCCTTTTGGGTGTTGTGGTCTGCAAAAGAGGCATTGAATGGCAAACATGTTCAGTCCATAGTCTACTTTCGACATGCATCTCCCCTCCTGGGAGGATCCTCCAAACATCCTTTATTTGGTGCTCCCTTCTCTATCTGAATAGCCCTTTCCTCTAGGATACCCGGCTGGCCTCTAAGTTATGGAGTAATCCTCCTGGTGCTGATCTCAGCTATTCTTGGGTATTAATCTCATACTTTGTTACTTTATATCCCCCAGATGAATGCAATCTTTCTATGTCTATCCCTCTCTTTCTGACTCATTTCGCTTAGCATGATACTTTCCATATTGTACCACTTGTATGTAAATTTCATGACTTCATCTTTTCTAAGAGCTACATAGTACTCCATTGTGTAGATGTACCAAAGTTTCTTTAACCAGTCATCTGTTCTTGGGCATTCAGGTTTCTTCCAGTTTCTGGCTATTGTAAAGAGGGCTGCAATGAACAAACAAGTGCAGATGTCACTTCGACTATACATTTTTGCCTCTCTGGGATATATTCCCAGGAGTGGTATTGCTGGGTCAAATGGGAGCTCAATTTCTAATTTTTTGAGAATCGTCCATACTGTTTTCCAGAAGGGCTGAACCAGTGGACATTCCCACCAACAGTGAAGGAGTGTCCCTTTCTCGCCACATCCACGCCAGCATCGGTTGCTTTTGTTCTTTTGAATGTGGGCCAGTCTCTGAGGTGTGAGATGGTATCTCATTGTGGTTTTGATCTGCATCTCCCTGATGATTAATGATGTAGAGCATTTTCTCATGTGCTTTTTTGCCATTCGGATTTCTTCTTTGAGAAAGTTTCTGTTCATTTCATTGCCCCATTTTTGGATGGGGTTGGATGTTTTCTTCTTGTGGAGTTTAACCAGTATTTTGTATATCCTGGATATCAACCCCTTGTCAGATGTGTATTCGGTGAATATCCTTTCCCATTCTGTAGACTGTCTTTGTACTTTGGTCACTGTTTCTTTGGAGGTGCAGAAGCTTCTTAGTTTAAGATAGTCCCATTTATCTATCTCTGTTTTCACTTGCTCGGCCAGTGGCGTGGCATCTTTGAAGATACCATTAGCTTCAATGTCATGGAGGGTTTTGCCAACTTTATCTTCAATGTACCTTATGGTTTCTGGTCTGATGTTGAGGTCTTTAATCCATTTTGATCTTACTTTTGTACATGGTGTTAGGCAGAGTTCTGAGCCTATTTTTTTGCATGTAGCCGAGAGACGGTCTTTTTTACACATAACTTTCCTTAGTTGGCTATAAGGATGCGTTATTTTTGAAAGACCAATTTAATAGTGGTACACAAGCCGTATAAAATTTATGGCTGATTCAGAGCCCATTTATCAGTAAAATACAAAGAAACCTATGGACAGTGCTGCAGGGATATTGACCTTTGGGTATGATATGGTAACATTTTCCACCTAAAGCTTAAACATACTATTGTAAACTGTGTTGCCACATCAGCAATGAAAAGTATAAAACTATTGGGCCAGAGAGACAGAACAAGGGTTGAAGTGCTTGCTTACACATGTGAAAGAGCCTTAGTATTTTAATGATATTTTCTATAAATTTTATTGTGACCTTTAGTTGTTCTTGGAAGTTCTCCTTTTCTGAGGGGTTCCATCACTCTCTGGGTGGTATCTTGTTTTCTCCATCTACAAGAGATCAGTTTAGTTTGTTTGTTTGTTTGTTTTAATCTCGGATGTGATTTTCATGGCTTTATCTGCTTCAGAGTGACTTCATAGCTTTCAGAAAAACTATTACCTGCTATCCTTTCCTATCTGTCTGCCTGCAATAAAGTGTACAAAAGACATGTGCCCATCTAAAAATATATTAGCCATAATTTTGTTTCAGGCACATATCAGTCTTCTGTATTTTCCATAGATATCAATGAGTTTTTGTGTATCTGCATATCTGTAGATTTTAGGAAAAGTGATTTTTGAAATTCATCTTTAGCAATTAAGAAGTGCCATATATGCCCAGGAAGTTTTTTTCACAAATTCCTTTTAAAATTAGTTTTTGTCTACAGCAGATAATTTTTGTTGTTATATTTTTCTAGAAGAGTAGTAGTTTTGATTGTTGTTGTTTGTTGCTTGTGGAGAGTTGAAATGAAGATAATTTGTAAAACAATACATCTTATTTAAAATATCCAGAAACAGAATGGGGCTGCAGAGATAAAAGATTTGGCCTGGAGCCATAGTACATGGATGGGGCACTTACCTAGCATAGGGCTGACCCAAATTAGATCTTGGTTCCATGTTTACTGTCCTGAGCCCTGCCAGGAATGGGATGTCTGAGTACAGAACCAGGGATCCTCCTGTCATGGCCCCAAAATGAACAAATAAAGTGGAGGTATTATCACCAGACACACGGTATTTTAAACAATGAGACTAGATTGGTTTTAAAATTTAACTATAAAAGAGATGATATTCAAGGACTGAGTATTGGGACCTTCTAACAATTGAAGTTCAAGATAAGAAAGAGAAAGTATCTAAACGCTGAGATGGATGACCAAGCAGAAGTGATGTCCCTGAAGCTAAGTAAGGGCAACTCAACAACTGTTACCTGTATACCTCCCACACCCACCAAGAGGTGAGAAATGAGAAATGACTATTTGCTTAATTAACATGGAGGTGACTGATGAAGGTTAGGTAGGTGACAATGGATGGGAAAAGTTCCTAACTGAAGTGGGTTAAAAAAAAATAAAGAGTATTTGAAAACTGATTTCAGGGAAGTTTGCTGTCAAACGGAGAAGCAGATTATTATTTTGGGAAGGAATTGAAGTCAAGACAAAGCATTTGTTTTCAAATGAGAGAGATAGTGACATGTTTTCTAAAGAGAACAGTGATATGTGATGAGAAACTGATTATTTTAAGAATCACTGTCACTGTCCTTCCGTTGTTCATCGATTTGCTCGAGCAGGCCCAGTAACGTCTCCATCGTGAGACTTCTTGTTACTGTGTTTGGCATATCGAATACGTCACTGGGAGCTTGCCAGGCTCTGCCATGCGGGCGAGATACTCTTGGTAGCTTGCTGGGCTCTCCGAGGGGGCAGAGGAATCGAACTCGGGTCGGACATGTTGGCTGCGTGCAAGGCAAATGCCCTACCGCTGTGCTATCGCTCCAGCCCATTTTAAGAATAAATGCATCAATTACTAGTGTACTGCCCATGAATGATACTTTGAGATCTGAATCCCAAGTAAATGAGTGGGCGATACTAGAGCTTGGAGAGTTCATTGGTAGAAACAAGAAAAGGTCGAGAGATACTTACCTGTCAAGGGACATTGCATGATCACGAACGTGGTTTTTCCAGGACGAGGCTTATCAGTTGTACTCCGGATGTGGTAACCGCTGCTATTTACCCAAATGTGAGAACTCCACTGCACAATTTTTGGTAGTGAGGGACTGTGTTCATGCTCTCCCCTGAAAAAAGAGAAGAAAAGAAAAGGTAGAGAAAGCCTGAGGGCCACAGCAAGTAGGCAAGAAAAGATTACCAGTGAAGGGAACTGTAAAATCTCTTATTTTACTTCCCGGTGATCATCGATTTGCTCGAGCGGGCCCAGTAACGTCTCCATTGGAGACTTTGTTGTTACTGTGTTTGGCATATCGAATACATCCCGGGAGCTTGCCAGGCTCTGCCGTGCGGGCGAGATACTCTCGGTAGCTTGCCGGGCTCTCCGAGAGGGGCGGAGGAATCGAACTCGGGTCGGCCATGTTGGCCGCTTGTAAGGCGAACGCCCTACCCGCTGTGCTATAGCTCCAGCCCTTTTCGTCAGACTTATTTTACTGGTTGGGTAATTTCATTCTTTCTAGTTTAATAATGTTATTAAAAAACTTTAATTGTACCTATGTTTTAAGCCACTTTCAGAAAAATAATAAACCTTCATATGAAATGATTCATCGGCTCCTCAAAGTTACAAATTTGGAGAATGAAAACTTGCCAGAAATACCAGATGTTCTACTTCAGTTCTTTTGATTCCTCTAGCCTTTCATATGTTCACTCAATTGTAACTTTCTAAAACCTTATTTTGCACTTTTCTTTTAGTGTGTTGTAACTCTAAGTCCAGTTTATTTCAAGTTTAATCTGGGAAAGCCATGCTTTCCAGATATTTAGCCAGTTTCAAAATTACTTACCTAGGTGCCAGGGTACTGTATTTAATGTACTGAGTAATGATTTCTGATTGCTGGTCAACCCATATTCCAATGCCTTTACCCCTCAAGGTATTGTTCTCTTGGGGGAAATTGTTAGCTGTTCAATGTTTTGAGACCAGAAACATTTAAAAGTGCATTAAAACTTAAATTTGGAGCCTGCTGGAAACACATTTAACTTGCTTTACTACTAAATTCCAATAATTTCTTTCCTGTAATGAATATGATTTCATTTTCTGTTAGTCCCTTTTCTCAGACAGATGGATATAACAATTTTCCAAAATTATCGCCACAATAACTGCTAATATAATTACTTTCTTGGATTTATAGGAATGTGTCAGTTCTACTCAATCAAAATATCCCTATCGAAAACATGTTGAAAATATAAGATATTAACATTTTTCTTGGTGCTTTTAATTTGAAGAAATCAATTTATCTTATTGTCTAAAATACTAATACAATGAATAAGAATTATCAGTAGCAATCTGAGACTAATGAAAGAGTAAAAAGAGGAAAAGAGTGACCTCTCAGGGACTAATTGCTTTATTTCCTGTTACTAATATCAGGAAGTTGAAGATTCTTTTTTTTTTCTTATCAAGAATCTAGTTAACAAACGAACAGCCTATTAACTAGTGGCTTAAGTCTATCTAGACCCCTTTCAGTGTTTCATTATTTTGGTACCTCTGGTATTTTGTTATGTCAGAGATTTTTTATAAAATTATCAGGAAATGTATTAGACAAAACCATTATTTGTGGTCTTTTCTGATGGTGCTCATGGGATCTGCATTGTCAGGGATCAAACCCAGGTCTCCCATATCCAAAGCATGTGTTCTACCCTTTGAGTTCCCTCACTAGTCTTGGTTATTTGAAATTGTAAGGAAATAAAATATATGGCTGCATATAAAATGGATATGATTTGTAGGAACTCTAAGCATTAGGAATATAAGGCCACAACTCTGACCCATCCGTTGATGGGTTTATTTGGGAGTGCTTTAAAGTACTGCTCAAGGGGCTCAGACCACTTCTGGAGATACTGAGGTCATCTGTTCAGTGCTGAGGCCTGAGCATAAGAGAAAGCTCAGGTCTTGCGATGCCACAGACTACCAGGGACACCCTGGGGGCATCTGGGGCCTCCAGAGCCAAACCTGGAGATGTTCAGGCTGCCATAAGATATGAGAGATTGAATCTATCTTGAACTGTATCCCCTGACATTGTTGGCTGACTCTTCACTCAAAAATTACATGGAATCATTTTATGCTATTTTCAACATCAGTGGATACAACCATGTGATTTTTATCCTTTCATAAAGGTGTGTATCACATTTATTAACTTAAGGAGAGTTTAGCCATCCTTTCACTTCTGGAATAAGCCCTACATGGTCTTTGTGTATCATTCTTCTAGTGTATTGTTTAATCCCGTTTTCTAGCGGCCATGGAGATAGTACAGTAGGGAGGGTGCTTGCCTTGCATGCAGCCAACCTGGCCCTATCCCCTGCACACCATATAGTTTCCAAGCATGGTCAGAAGTGATCCCTGAGTGCAGAGCCAGTAGTAAGCCCCCTGAGCACCACTTGGTGTGACCCAAAAAACAAAAAGTCCATCTGCCAGTATTTTCTAAGAATGTTCACATCTTTTCACGTGTCTTTGTCTGAGATATTTGTCTGATTTCCTTGTCAGATTTTGGAATTAGAATAGTAACTGGCTTTATAGAAAGTGTTTTCCCCCACCTTTCAATTTTATGGAAAAGTTCAGAGAGATATCTACTAAGTCTTTAGAAGATGGGTTGAATTCATTTGTGAAATCATCTGATCCTGTACTTGTGGTTGGGGGAAAAGGGAACTTTTGATTACTGTTTTTATTTCCTAACAAGCACTGAGTCTATTCTGTTTTTTTTTTCCCTGAGTTTGTTTGGTCTATTGTTGTTTCTAAGAATTTGTCTTTCTAGATGATAGTTTGCTGCCCTGATTTGTGTACTGTTGTGATTCTGTTTTTCTGTAACATCTGTTGTAACTTCACTTTAAGGTTTGATTTTATTTACATTTTATTTTTTCAGCTAAAGGTTTGTCGGTTTTGTTAATTTCAGAGAGTGAGATCTTGATTTTATTGATCTTCTGAATTAGCTTTTTAATATCTTTTAATGCTTCCTCTAATTTTTATTAAGCCTTTTTTCCACTGAATTTTCATTTACTTTTTCATTTCCTAACTCTTTTAGATACACACATAAGATTATTTATTTGTGATTTTTGTTTCCTGTGGCAAGTCTATACTGAAAGAAACTTACCTCTTAGTGCTGGCTTTGCAACATCCCACATTATCAGGTTCTCATATTTTTATTTTCATCCATCTCCAGGTATATTTTAAATGTTAAAATTTGATATCCTCCTTGATTCATTAGTTGTTTAGGAGCATTTATATTGTCCACAAACTACCTACTTTGCGTTGATTTATACTGTGAGACCATTGTGATCCAAAAAGATGCTTGATAATAATTTTCTCCTTTTTCTTCTCGTTTTTTTTCTTTTTTCTTATTTTTTTTTCAATGGAGGCCTCTTCTGGTGATATTTAGCCTGTCAGCAATAAGTATGACTTCAGTGGTCCTGCCAAATGCACTACTGCCTAGACCAAGTGGCGTTCGTTGGCCACATAGTGGCCACAGATAGAATTTAATGCCTTGGACATGCTGGCTATGTGCTATACTACTTGACCAGTCTCCCTGGATCTATGATTTTAATCTTTATAAATTTATTGAGACTTGTTATGTGTCCCAATGTTATCTATCCTTAGGAATATTCCCTGGACACTTGAAAAAGTCTGTTTATTGTATTTTGGAATGGAATTCTCTATAAGTCTATCTTCTCTGATTTGTCCCTTAAGGCCATTGTTGACTTATTGATTTTCTGTTTGGATGATCTGTTCATTGCTGTAAGTTGTGTGTTAGGGCCCCATACTATTATTTTATTACTATATAATGGATCCCAATCTAATACGGTGTTTATATTAGATCTTAATGTATTTACTTCTATTATATTGCTGCATTTTGGTGCTCTTGTATTGTGTGTGTGTGTGTGTGTGTGTGTGTGTGTGTGTAGTTTATCCTTCCTATTACAATCTCCTTTTATCACTATAGTGTCCATTTTTAATCTTTTGCTGTCTTTCAGGAGCTGAAATCTATATTATATAAACAGCAGTTTTTCCCTTTTTACATTTGTTATAGACTTGAATTACCACTTTCTACCTCTTCATTCTAAGTCTATTGTTGTCTTTATAGCTTAAGTGAATCTCCTGTAAACAGCATAGAGTTTGGTGTTTTAATCTAGTCCAACTTTCTACTCTGCCTTTTGTCAACTTACACTTATGAGACAGTTTTTATTTGAGGGTTTATGCTATCATTTGTCTTCCATTTTTTTGATTCTGTTTATTTCCCATTAAATTTTGAGTCTCAACTTCTTTTTACTGATTTAGATAGAACTCCTTTCAGCATTTTTGTTGTTGTTGTTGTACTTGTGTTTGTTTTGGAGCCCCACCAAAAACAACTGTGCTTTGGACTTAGTCCTGGCTCTGCACCCAGGGATGACTCTTGAGGATCAAATTCAGGTCAGCTGTGTACAAGTCGAGCACCCTAACCTATTTATTATTACTCCGGCCCCCTTTCAGCATTTTTTTTTTCAGGAAGGTCTAGTGTTAGCAAATTCCTTCAGCATCATTTGTCCATGAATTTCTTTATTTTTTTTTCCTTAATTCTGAAGTCAGTTGTCATTTTTGAGAAGTTTGGGCAATTTACCATTCCACTCTCCTCTGGCCTGTAGAGTTTCTGCTGAGAAATCCGACGAATGTCTGTTTGGAATACCTTTATAACTTATATGCTCATCTTTCTTCCATAATCAGTGTTCTTTGTCTTAAACTTTTGACCATCTCACTATTGTGTGATTTTGTGTGAGTCTCTGCATTTAGAAAACCGGAGGTATGTTAACTTGTTAAACTTGTACATTTGATTTCTTCCCCAAATCTGGGGGTTTTCCATCTATTTTTTTCTTTAAGTAACTGTTTATACTTTTTCTTTTCTGTTACCCTTCTGAGATTCCCTTGTTGTAATAATGGACAAAGTTATCCTTATGTTGTCATTCCTAATGGAATCAGGTAGTCTCTGTGCTTCTTCTCCTGCCATCGACCAAGTGATTTGTGAGTTGTTATCTTCAAGATCATTGGTTCATCCATCCTTTTGGTCTATTCTGTTTCCATAGATTTCTCTAGCACTCTTGATTTTGTGTATTGTTTTCT